GAAAAACAATAAAATTTAAAAAGTATAAATAAATAGAAAATTTAAAACTAAATTCTCTAAAGAAAATGCGAACGCAAAAACAACAATATTTGAGAAATAAAACTAAAGTCATTACAAAAACAAAAAGTGAAAAAGAAAATTACAAAAAATTATTAGTAATAATAAAATCCAAACCTGCACATAAGCAAAACCATAAAATGCCAGAAATAAACAAAAACAATTTTTTTTTTAAACAACTCAAAAATAAACAAACATCGTACAAAAAAGAAAAAAAATTGACATAAGCATTTCACTCAACAATTTTCACGCCAATTGCGCATATACACTAAAAAAATCATATTTTTCATTTCACGCACAACAATCAACTGCAGACGGCCACAAAGACAACCCAAGTGGATACACAACTGTATCCAGTTTTCACTTCATCCTCCCTGGATGCGCGTCAATTGCACACGATTACCAGCGATAAGCTCACACATGTGCTGCAGGACATCGACAAGGCGCAGGACGAGCTCCAGCATCGCATACACACCACGCTCGGCATACAAACGAAAAATCCCGAATCATTGCAAAAAATCGAACAGGTCATTAGCAATTTGCGATCGCTGAAATCCAAATTAGAGGGCATACGCTACGACTACAAAACGCTGCTAGAGAACATATTGAAATTCTTGGCCGAGATCACCGAACTGCAACGCAACATCGATGACTTTTTCGCCAAACAACAGCAACAACACAGCCAGTTGGGCGGTAGCGGTGGTGACGTGGCTGATATTGAGCGCACCATTGCCGAGCATGAGAAATTCCGCGATACTTGTATGGATAAATTTAGATCGTTAATCACACAATCCGAATTGCTGATCGATCGCGTGCGTGCACTGGAACCGCCGGGCGCACGCGAAATCGACACCGATCGCATACTGAAATTGCTGGAGAATTTGCGTCTTCATTTCGAGGCGGGCAATAGTGAGAGAATGTCGCGTCTGGAGCGACTCGGCAAGCTGGAACAATTCAAAATGGATCTGTGCGATATTAATCGCAGTCTGGATAGTGTTAGCAAGCAATTGCATGAGATCAATGAACAAAGTGTTGACAGTTTGGCGGCGGCAAAGACAACATCGTTGGCATTCGAGTATTTTGAGCGCACCATTGAGGTGAGTATATGTGTGGAGGTGTGTATGGGTATTTGGGAGGGTGGCACGTGAGCTGTAAAGCTGCTGGTGTTGTGTACAATGGACAATTTCAAAGACAAGTGTATTGAAGCGAACGGTAAAATCATTATAGTTTGCAAGTGTTGGCATCTGGTGGTGTACATATTTCTAGATATGTGTGAAAATGGGTGTGTAACGAATTGTGGCAGGTGCGCGTTGTTGAGCCAGATGTTTTGTTTTCTCATTTTAATTATTTTTATTTATTTTTTTTTTTTTGCTTTGTGATGGACACGCTTTGGTTGTGGGTTCAATGAACAAAGAACAAGGTGTTGTGCGGCAGCTATTTGAAATTCTTTTTGATTAAGCAAAAAATCAGCGAAATCAAACAAAATGTTGTGAAAAAAATTTAAAATAAATATTTTGAACTAAAATGTTAAGAAATATTGAAAGCAGAAAATCAATAAATCAGCCTAAACCAAAAAAGATAATCGTCCTAAGCAGTAAGGCATTAAGATTTTCGCTATATTTTTATTTTCAACTGTATTTTGAAATAAAAAATGGAGCAATTCACAACAATAAATATCAAAATAATGTAAAAAATAACTAAGAGAATCTGCACCATAAAAAACTAGTGACTTCAATTTTTCAAATTGATAGTAGTTTCGATTGACGGTGTGTTGTCGTTAATGGTATGTTAGTCGATACTAAAAATAATTTCGATATTTTTATGAGTGTAGCCTTCGAAATATTGAGCGAATTTTGAACTATTCGATTTACAATGAAAAGAGCATGTTTTCAGACTTAAAAACCTCTTTTTTTTTTGGAAAATTTTCGATAATAATAATAAAATTATATTTGTTAAGGAATTACATGAGCCTTTTTCTCATATAAAAAATTAAATATTTTATGAAAAGTTTTTATTGTTACAAACAAGAAAAAAAATTTGATATTTTGGGGGAAAAAATGTTAAAACTCTGTCATTGCGACACCATATCCGGTGACCCCTCGGAAAAAGGATGCGCTCACGTTGGCAGGATAATTTCTTACAGGATCATCCAAAGTGAATAACATGTGTTTTAGTTAAAACCTTAGCTTAGAGCGAAGGAAAAGACAGAAATTTCCATTTTTGGCAGACATTTTTACAAAAAACAAAAAAAATTAAAATTTCGCCAATTTCAAATAGTTGTAATCGGACAAATAAATCCTTAGGAGAAGTCTTTAAGATTGTATCTCAAAGACATGTGCATAATTTCAAGAATATCACTTAAGTAGTTCTTGAGAAATCTTGCCACATGACTTTGAAAACACAGTTTCGAGAAAAACGCTTTTAAAGACGGTGCTTCAAGGGCACAAGTTCTCAAGACTATATCTCCGAAACTATTACTCGGATCAACTTGAAAATTTAAGACAATACTTTAGTTGTAGAATTTAATAAGACAGTAAAACAACGATTTTTTAAATCCTGTAAGCCCACATACCCTCTTTACTCATATTGGCGCATATCTGTAAAAACGACCCAAAAAAGTGAAAAGTTATAAAACAAAATCAATCTTAGATTTCGGGGTAAAACATTATATGGAAGAAGAAAAGTGCGTCCTATAAATAAATAAATATGATTGCTAAAAAAAAGAAAGCTATTAGAGAAAAAGCGACAATCTTAACACCAAATACTGCTTTTGTGTGTAAATAAAAACTTGTTCGCGACTTTTGGGAATGAGATGTAAAAGCGCAAACAATTTTACATACCACAGCTAGATTACTCTATCATTCTTTAGGCCATGCCTCTTAGCAGCCGCTCAGGTTAGACGCGATAACTTTTTGTCAAAAACAAGACTGTAACGATGTCACAGCCTCCATATACGCCAGACATAACTTTGTGTGACCTTTTAAAATATATATATCATAATTTTAAATAAGCGACGTTCTTTTACATGGTGGATGAAAATTGTTGAAAGAGCTAAACAAAAGTAAAGTTTTAATTCATCAAAAAACATGGTCCAAACGAGTTTCAACCAACAATTACAATAATAGTGTAATGTTGAGAAACTATCATCGTTTAAATAGTAATTTATAGTGATCTTCAATAAAGATCAAATTATCGGAATAGGCATTACTTTTAGGATGGTCAGCATTTAACCAGGAACTGGAAGTTATTTTATTCCTTACACATGAAATTCCAGACTTATTTTAAGGAACAAAATAGCTGCGAGGTTTTGGTAAGATTCTGACCACCTTCAAAGTAGCCGAAAAATAAGGCTGAAATTATATGTTCCATTTCTTTTTTATTATTTCGGTTTTGGATTGGTTTTAATTTGTAATTTTTATTTAACTTTGAAAAGCAAATTCTATTTCTTATCGCAAATATACAGCTTAGTAAACTTATTCTTCTGAGAACCATGTTATTGGAGAGCCGCCGATTCTTAATTTTAAAGGTTAGATTTTAATGAAACGAAATTAATATTTTTTCTTAAGAAGAAGCCAAATAAGTTTGCCTGTGATAAGAAAATGTTATAAAAGCGGTGTCATATCTCGTTTTGCATGGTTTGAAAATTGAGGGTTTTGCTAACAATCTCCTGAAATGATAAGTTAGAGTAGAGGCTGTTCATCAAATGCAGAGACCGAAATCCATAAATCCATTCCCAAGACAGTCGGGTTAACTCGGCAAAATTCTGATCTCGATATCGACCAAGAAACAAAACTAAATAATTTCTGCTAATAGTAGTCATCATAGCCACACTTCACACCGGAAAACATACAACTTGGGTTGGACAAGCAATCTCAAGCACCCGAGCAGAAGTCGAACAAGAAAAATCTTCTCATACGTTAGTCATTAGCCTCAAGGAATCGAAATAAGACATGTAGAACCCTAAATAGGTTCGACAACAGCACGGCTGTGATAATAATCATATTATTTAAAACATAAAATGAGAAGGTTGCCACCCTTATAAAAAAAAGTATGAAGGCTGACATTAGAAAATAAAATATTGAGAAGCATTTTCACCTGTTTATATTTGCAATTAGAATAAATTGATAAAATAAATAACATACTATACATATAGCTCAAATTTACCATATTATTGTAGTTGGAATCATTGAGAAGAATATAAAATGATTTAGAAAAATTTTCACATTTTATAACCATTGTTTCAATATTTTTCAAAAATTTCATATGCAAACGACAAATCATATCTCCAATTTAAATAATATTCTCCCATATTTTAACTGATGTCTGCGCAATTTCCCATCATTTTCGAATTGTTTAGTTTTATGAAAAATAAATAGTTTTAGAAGTTTATAAACAAGTATTTTATGACAAAACCGCTATTTATTGTAATGAGCTGCATATAAAACTGTATATAAATAAATCTTTCAGAACTCAATGCCAACATTTTTGGTGCCCGTTCGGCATCAGCTACGTTGGGGTCATAACAGTAAACCGCTGAAGGTATTTAATTATTAATTAGCTTCTATTTAATACACAAAAATATTCTACACTAATTTTGTTTAGCTGAAACAATACTTTTCATTTGACTAGCTGCCATTAAGCAGACTATTTTCAACAACAACACTATAACAACTGAGAGCCAATGTTTGTGTGCTTTCTTTTCTATTATGACTATCTATTCAATAAATGGCAATTATGCAATTTAAATTTCCCCAGACTCAATAAAATTAATTACAGAGCTTTTAAGAAGCTACATATGTAAACACAAGTACATATATACGCTGTTTATATAATATACAAACGATCATTTATATATCATTTGCGGTTCATCGATCCATCAGTTGGGTGACGGCGCCAAAGCAGCCGGTAAATGTCAACGCATACAAGACAAGTTCATTATTTGCTCGACTTGTGTTTATTGTTGTTATTACTTTTTTTTTTGGTTTTTCAATTTATTTATGCGTTACTCTGCGTTTAAATGTTACAACAATAAGCATGACGCAAATCTTCCTGTTTGTATTTGCTGAACACAAAGAAGAAAATGCCACGCGTTGACTAGCATACATGAGAACAACAACAAATTGACACATACATATGTACCTATTTACACATTATATATATATATATATATCGTTATATGGATATGTACATTAGCGTGTTTTTTTTTTGAACTATTAATTTTCCTTGGAAATACCCTAAACAAAATTCTCTGAAAATTTTAGCCCTTAATATTAACATTAAGAAATGGGTTTTTATAGATGGTATGTATTAAAAAATCTATGAAAATTGCATACAGTCTTACTTAAAAAGCTGAATATCTCAAGAAGTATTAATGACAGCGATTTTGAGCTTGGAACTTTTTAATAGCAAATACAATATCCTACAAATTTGTCACTTACATTTTATCTATACCTTTTGTCATTTACGAGATAAATACAAAAAAATTCGAATTTCATGGAAAAATTAGGTTTAGAGCCCCGTACTACCTCGCCGATCCAGGCTTGGGAATTAATTGTTCAAAAACAAAAACCTAATGTACATACGAGCGCAAACGTCACAACTGCGAATGATCTTTTTTCAAACAAAATCGCACAAAAGGCAACTGGGCGTTGCTGCGATGTGACATTTTGCCATTATAAATATTCGCGAAAATTTGCTATGAAAAACTGTCTACAAAACTGCCACATACATTTTATTTGTTTAAGCCAAGCAGTTTGTGCGAAAACTTTTCAATAAATTACATTTCGAAATTGGCTGTCATGCGGTGGTGGAGATTTGTCTAAATAACCCGGATGTACAATGCCATTGTGTAGCGGTGTTTGTATATTTTAGTAAAAGCGCGTTTATTTTTAAATGCAATACTGCAATTAAATAAAAAAAAAAAAAACAAAAAAATGGAAAATATAAAAATTGATTTTTGATATTTTAGGGCAAATTGTGGGCAAGATTAAAGATTTTTGCAGGACCCTTACAATTTTTATTGATTCAAAAGAAAGGCGTTTACTGTTTATAATATTTCATACTGTCGCATAATCTTTTCAATATATAGCATCTGATGTCTATAAGTTTGGCAGAAATCTGCAATGTTTATATTTTGGGGCAAAGCTTTAATACAACAAATTCCCGTTAAAAGAGTGAAGCCTATTTATTTATTGTTGAATATGAACATTATTTAAGTGTTAAAATATGAGAGAATAGTATATGTATATAACTAAATATA